GGCACATGGATCCCATGGGAGTGCATGGATCCCTCTGAGGCACATGGATCCCACTGGAATGCTTGGATCCTGGGGCACATGGATCCCATGGGAGTGCATGGATCCCTCTGAGGCACATGGATCCCACTGGAATGCATGGATCCTGAGGCACATGGATCCCATGGGAGTGCATGGATCCCTCTGAGGCACATGGATCCCACTGGAATGCATGGATCCTGAGGCACATGGATCCCATGGGAGTGCATGCATCATATCGCATTTTAAATCACATGGGTAATATTTCAGCCATATCGTGACTAATCTTGCTGGTTGAGGAGAGAGATGAGAAACACATTAATGAATGCTAATCATATGTTTCATGGCAACCGTGACCGTGACACAGTTATTCTACAGATTCAATAATGTCAGTAAGGGTAAATACTCAATAAATTTGATCTTACATGCGAACACTCCGCCCGGAGAGCGGAAGGTCGCCGGTTCGATACTAAAAGACGTTAGAATATGGTACTTGGTCCCTGCCTGGCGCTTGGCATTAATGGGTACAACAAGGACTGGTCGGCTCGGAGCCCGTATAATGTGTCTGAGTGGGGTATTCATGCTTCACTGCGGCATGGTATCTCAGTGGGCTAGCACTATAAAACCAGCTTGAGTCTGGGCTAGTACAAGCGGCCGCACATACACATACACACGCATGCACGTCGTCATATGAGCGAAAGATTCTCAAGCACGACGTTAAACCCAATTTGACCTCTCCTACATGCGAACACACTAAAATGTCAAATCTTAGCCGGTGGATCGATAAAAACTGAGGTGCATGTATATTAAGAGGTTCCTTTTCAGCACATGAACTTGGCAACTTGCAGTCTTTCTTAATGTTTCTCAGACCCGTGAAGGTCCGGGTTAGAATTTGCCTTCAGTAACCTATGCTTGTTGTAAGAGGCAACAAACGGGATCGGATGGTCAGGCCCGCTGACTTGGTTGACACATGTCATAGGTTCCCAATTGCGCCGATCGATGCTCATGCTATTGATCACTGGATTTTCTGGTCCAGACTCGATCGATTATTTACAGACCTCCGCCATATAGCTGGAATATTGCTGAGTGTGGCGTAAAATTAAACTCACTCACTTTGTTTCTCATATTACAGATCAAATACACAACAAACCAGTAAACCAACATTTAAACTTTATTTGTTTTTACAATTAATGGAAAATGGCAAAATACGCAATTGAGTTTGAGTGAGGTGGGTACAATTCATTTGGCTACTCAAAGGAAAATAAGGATATCCAATTGCGATGAACGCAAGCGAGTACACAACTCAATGACCCCATAAGTTATCTGTATCATTGGAAGTTTGCATTAGTCGGTCTGTTCTGGGTGGCTGCATCCTCGAAGGGGGTTAAAGTTTTGTAAAATTGTTGTCCTGCAGAGAGGGTACGCAAGTCCCAATACTTCCCAAGTAAATTTAGACCTACCAAACTTTTAGTTGTAGTATATTTGTTGTTTTAAATAATAGCTAAATCTCAGTACAATCGCAAATGACCGAACTGCTGAAGGGATGGTGGAAATCCAGGTCGGGCCCAGACAGGTAGCAACAGACCTGTGTCCCTGTGTTTCCTAGGGTGACGATCTACTTTCAGTTGCTGTTTAATGTTTGACTGTGTTATTCAGGGATTTATTACTAGTTTTAGTCACAATGTGGCTGAAATACTGTCGATGTGACTGTAAACTTTAACTCACTCTCTGTCTGTTCTGATTTCTGAATAAGCGCGTCATTTTACAAACACGAGAAATGTACTGTCACGTGATATGCAAATTATCCTGTTGCAGTAGTGTCGTGAATATGATTACCGCGAGTGTGAGTATATTATCGCGTAAGGTTCCGATATTTTCACGATTCTCAGTGCTGATTGGTCAGCTGAAGCCGTAACACGTCACAGTGTTCATTGTTCCGAAAAATACCGTATGACGTCATCACTGGTCTTGTTCATGGCGTCACAGTTTCATTACTTGACGTCATTTAACAACAGGCTGCATTTAGTGAAGTTGCCCTCACTGTTTACTTTTCACGTGTTTTTCTACATTTTCTCACAGACCAAAGGTTGATTCTTCCGCCAGGCAAATATGGATTATTCAAGCCTCTGTATTCGACTTATGCCCATAAGGGAGCATTTTCTGACCAAAAAGGAGGCAGTAATGCTGAAGTTTTAGATTCAATACTTACCCCCAGACACGAAAGAAATTATACCAAGGCCACATAAAAACAATTTCTTGTTTCTCATTACCGCTCGACCCTATTTAAAAAAAAAAAAAATTTGCATTGGTAAATTTGCCTGTATAAAGCCGGCACACTTTCGAAATTCGTCTCAGCTTCTGGCATTCCAAGTTTTCGACTAAGATTGTATAGAAAATCAGAAAACAATAATTAAAAATAAAAATAGAATCCGCCCTACCTACCCATTTAAAAAAAGTGATGAGAAACAAGAAATTGATTGGTCTACTCCCATTTGTGAGAACTCCCAATTGTGAGACTCCCAGTTATGAGACAGTGGAGTAGGTAATTAACACAGAAAACACACCATACTCCCCTGATAGAATGGATTAACCCTAGCTAATTACTGATTTGCTATGTAACCGAATCTTGTGGAAGTCTTAATGAAACTTTATAAGATAAATTGATTAACATACACTTTGTGTAGGTAACTGCGTGATGATTTGAAAGAGAAATTAATTTACCTACTCAGATTTACTCCGTCTCCGAAACTACAAGATATAGTTTAAGAAATAACTCTGAAATACAAGTTTACAGTCGCACTGCCTCTTATGCCAAATCCTTTTTACCCGGCACTACCCGTTATAACCTGGATACCGTTTTGAACGGAAACAAAGAATTTACTCCTTGTGTAAACCAGAAAATAGTTGAATCTATCCACGATTATATCATCAAGACACAACGCTTCAAATGTTCTCAGGAAAATACTTAAATTAACTCAACAACCTTCTCATGATTGATTTATATTTCTACAATGGCTTGTTAGACACACACAACTGTAACTCTCTAATTATGACTACTTAGAGAATAGTTGTATTTGATGTAAACTTAAAACTAGATTTATGCAATAGTCAATATCGATGACGTCACATCCTCCATATCATTTTGTATTTTATGTTGCATCAGAGACCATATAATATATGGTCTCTGGTTGCATGGGAGCAGTGTTAACATAAGCAGTAATGCTTGCTCACCAATCCCAATTCATTTTCATAAATAATAATAAAATATGTTTAAACCAAAATGACTTTCAAACTTCATAATATGAACAGACAGACAGCAGTACGTGAAAGTTAACGGGGCTGTATCGAGTAAACGGACCACCAACACTGGTGCACCACAAGGCTGTGTAATATCTCCTGTTCCTTTCACCCTCTACACTAATGATTGTGCAAGCTCGAATTCAATCTGTTCAACTGTAAAGTTCGCAGATGATGCAGCAATTGTCGGCAAACTGAACGACACTGATTCTGAAAAACTGTATAAAGAGGACATTAATCATTTTACGACTTGGTGTGCAGAAAACCACTTAATCTTAAATGTCACAAAAACAAAGGAACTGATAATTGACTTTCGGAGTAAACCCACAGAAATGCTTCCAGTGATAATCAACAATGAATGTGTTGAGACAGTGTCGGAGTATAAGTATCTGGGAACCTTCATTGACTCTAAGCTGAACTGGAACACGAACACTGAAGCCCTATACAAAAAGTGTCAACAACGTCTTCATCTCATGCGTAAACTGAGATCTTTTAATGTTAACCCATCTGTGATGTCATCTTTTTATGTAGCATTTATTCGGAGTATTTTAACATTTTCCTTCCATTGTTGGTACGGGTCTCTCTCACTTCATCTCAAATCTAAAATAGACAAAATTGTTAACACTGCAAGTAAAATGAATCAAACTGTCAAAATCATATCTGACCGTACTCACTACTTAAATTCGGAATACAACCTCCTCCCTTCAGGCCGCCGCTACAAAGTTCCAATTGAGAAAACTAAGAGAGCCCGTACATCCTTTATTCCAAGTACCATATCTCTCTTAAACAAATGTGAAGATACCTAAATCAAAGAATTTATGTAAATATGTTTGGTATCTCTCTAATGTGTCAGTAGCTCTGCTGATGTAACACAAATTCCTGAAAAGGCATTAAAGTATTATTCTATTCTATTCTATTCTAGTCTATTCTATTTCTTCTGTGTAAATAGAATATTTGATAATCTATTTCATTAATCTACTCATCAATGACTTTCTGTAGGTACTCTTCAACAACTGGGCTGATCCCACTTTCATTGTGGGGATGTGGAAACACCACCTATGTGCACTGAACCATTAATGAATGTGTCTCACAACTGGGAGTTCTCACAAATGGGAGGACACCAATTGATTTTATGCGCCCTATTTGTTTTGCAATCCATGCCTCTCTCAGAGGCACAGACACACAAGTTTAAGAAATTCTTCAAAGGCATTTACAAGTAGGTGTTGTAATACAAGACAAATGTTGTGGCTAACAACTACTTGATTTATTTTTCACAACGTTTCTGGGCTAGTTCTTGCCCCTTCGTCTTATCATTATCTACCCGAAGAAGGGACAAGAACTAGTCCAGAAACTTTGTGAAAAATACATCAAGAAATTGTGGTCCATACCATTTGTCTTGTATCACAAGTTTAAGGTTTATACGTAACCAGAAAGGAATGGTAATTTAGATGTATCACATTTTGAAAGTGAAATAAGTGTCGGGGCTGTTTTGAGAACAACTTTATTGATGGTACATGTATTTGCTACGGGCAATTCTTCTTGCGCATGGTTCAATGGTTCAGTAAGATTCATCCAATCAAATGCGAAGATTCAAGGGCGATTCTAGATTTACACTTAGTCTATGAATGTATATAATGTTGATAGTAACAAATAAACCCACTGAAATTGAGAAGGAGCCCCAGTGAGATGGACGACTCAGGGGAAATCTAGACTTGCTCCATTTAGGACTTGCAGCGAGGGCTTGGCAGTCGGGAAAATAATGTGGTTCAGGGACTGTGACAGTCTAGGGGGATTCCCTTTCAATTGTCAACGCGGTCCTCGCTGGTCAAAAGGCCTGTTTGTTGGGTCACCGTGGATGAACTAGGGTCACCGAAGCTAATTGGCATTCGGTGATAACGTGGAACAATTAAAACCACTAGCTTGACAAGTGAGAGTAATAATTATGGCTCTTGTTTACATGTGTTCGGTTCTCTACCCGTGTTAGTCATATATTGAGACTTAACATCCGGGTTTATGTCACCCGGATTGAAGGAGCTTGATCGAGGAGATCCGAGTCACATACTTTCTCCAAGGTAATACAGTATTTTCTTTTGATATTACATTTCTGGACGACGGATTAACGTTAACGTCAGCACAAAGCAGCTTCTGTTTCTTCTCCTTGACAGTCATTGCACAACGTTACGTAATTGCGTTGTTGTCACCTGTTGATTCCGCTTTACAAAATAAAATGGCGTCTCATTCATTCGCTGACAGTGACCGAAATTGACAAACTCTCTCACTGTTGATGCGAAAGATCATGTGTTACCGTCAAAACTCAAAGACGATAGTGCCAGGGATAACATCACCCATATCTTGTTTTGGGGCTGTTTATTCTAAACTTAAGAAATATATTTTTGTTGACGCTGCAAAATGTTGCGAAATCGACTTTCCCAAAACGGTGTCGAAGTTGTCTGAGTTTAAGAATATGACATGAAGATTCACTTCAGGAAAACATTCATTTAAGAAGCATACTACCGGGGAGACTCTATGTTGTAGAGTATCATTATACTGATTGGGAAAAATAATTGCCATATTATCTATGAATATTCTTTTGGCCATCTTAGGTTTCAAAATGGCCACCCCTTTCCATCCACTATTGTGATAATTCAAAATGTACTTATGGTTGATATGACTCATTGACAATATAGATATTGAATGAATGTTCTTTGTATGCCCTTTCTACAGGGTTCTATCTTAAATAGATAGAAATGTATCAGTCAAAAACAATTTCTAACATTCATCATGGGATACTGTGTCTACTAAATTTCAGTCATTGTATAAATCATAAAATCTTTAATATGACATTTTGATCATATGTGGAAAGCTTTTCTGCTTTAACAAATTGATAACCGTTACCCAGTACATGTCATGTTGACTGTGGAGCAGTGGGGTAGCCTAGCAATATATTAGTTCGCTCATCATGTTTAAGGTCCGGGTTCGAATCCCCCACATGGGTAAAATGTGTGAAGCCCATTTCTGATGTCCCCCGCCTTGATATTGCTGGAATATTGCTACAAGCGGCGTACAAATAACTCACTCTCTCATGTTTACTGAACTGCGCTTATTTGTTTCTAAAGCAACATTAAAACTTCAGGCGACTATGCTTGCCGTAAGATCGGTAACAGGATCGGGTGGTCAGGCTCTCTCGCTTGGTTGACACATGTCATCGGATCCCAATTGCGCAGATCGATGCTCATGCTGTTGATCTCTGGATTTTCTGGTCCAGACTCTATTATTTACAGACGGCCGCCATATAGCTGGAATATTGCTGAGTGCGGGCGTAAAACTAAACTCACTCACTAAGAAGGGCTTCCTCTATATTATCCAGCATTGTTTAAGTTCTGGCAAGTTTTGATGTCTACCTTAGAAAAATGTGCTGAAATGTTGCTACTGAAACATTTGGATCTAGGGCCCCCCTAAATCAACTTTTTAACGTGTCTCTAATTTCTAAAACCAATGTTTAAAACTGTACTTTTCTAGTTGCGACTGAGCTGCCATTTCCTGATTATCTTGATTGTAGCAAAGTCTAGGGGCCATACACCTGTGATTGTTTGTTTTGCATTATGACAACGCAACTCACAATGAGCCTGTTTAACTGGAAACTTTGTATCCTCAGTGTGCAGCATCTGACAGTGTACACGTATTGGGATGATACACAGTTTGATCAATGTTCATCTATAGATTTTAGGGTGGAATGGGTATCCATCAACCTGTGTTTGCCATAAGAGCTTCGTCAGATGGATGGTCAGGCTCGGTGTTGTGGCTGACTGCGTGTCGTGGCCACTTGGTTTTATAGACAGGGCTCCCACAGGTCAGGGAAAAGTCAGGGAAATTTGGCATTTCTCTGAAAGTCGGGGAAAAGTCAGGGAATTTTAATATGTTTTCAAAAGTCAGGGAATAGTCAGGGAATTTGGGGTTTAAGTCAGGGAAATTAAGGGTTTTGGTCAGGGAAAAATAAGACTCAGAATGTCGCTAATCAGGTATGGTAGTAGTCAAAGTCAGAGAAGCAGCACATGTTACAGACATTTCATGAAATAAATTACAGTTCAGATAAGACATTGCTTTTAAGCATAACAGCATGTTTTACATAAAGCCCTAGATTACATATTACATTTTCATTTCTGGAGGATAGAATGGAAACAAAGTCACTTGAAGGATATTTTTACAGATAAATGTATTGTTGTCTTAAATCAGCATAATGTGAGTTTTATCTTCTACAGCCTGGTGACATAACAGACATATTCTTCTATGAAGCACAATCGGTTGGATTGTGAATCAAACAATATGAAACATATTTTCCGGGTTAAAATTCCCAAATTCTGGGAAACTGACATAAAGTTGATAAGAGCCTTCTTAGCATGAATTCAGGGGGATATAGTCGACGCCTTGCCCGTCTGTCTGTCTGTCCGTCCATCCATTTTGTTTCCAGAGCATAACTCGAAAACCGTTTAATATCTTTCAGCAAAACTTGGCAAATATTATTATATCAAACAGAACCTAAAGTGGTGCCTTTTGCTGTTTACAGATTTTTGTCATATCTATTTTTCTTGGTTTCCATGGAAACATATTGGAATTTGGCTAAATAAATGAAGTTCAACTTTAAGTAACTGTCAGATGATTTGCTCTTTCATATTTGTATGGGCTGGGGGATTTGTCATCTTCTGATGACTCTTGTTTAGTATGGGAAACACTAGTCTGAGATAGGCATAGTGATTAACAAGAGATAATTGTTTGCTATTCAAAAACATTTTTCTTTATAGGCAACAGATCCACCTCTTCTAAAGATAACTATGTTAACAGATAATTTTCAATTCATTTGTATACTGTTCAAAAATATTATAAATAGTATGATGGCTATGGTGGTTTCTTGCAAATTGTGAAAGCCCACATTGGCCAAAAATACCCATATATTTCATTGTTAAGGTACAGCATAGGTTTATAATATGCCCTATGTTCTGACATTTGCTGTCTATTCACAAAAGTGAAAGTGGTTTAATGGTGTTCATAATCTAGTTGTCATGGTTGTACTGAATGTAAAGTTACATCTTGCATTTTATTCTTTCCAAATACGCCTTTGATAATTACAACATTTTGTGATAATGAAGAAATGTGTTCCTGACTTTGAATGAAACAATTCAATTAAATCATTAGTTTCACATTTATGCTGTTTGTCAAAAGCCTTTATTATAAAATACAAAGTTTTCAGATGATATATTACTGACTTCACCTGAGAATATATATTTGATGGTCACGGTCAAATGTTTCTAATAGTATTATGTAACATTGTGGCAGGAGAGTCCAGGAAACTTTTCTTCATCACAAATATCAATGTTTTGGTTAATGTTATAAATTAACAAGTATTGTGTGTATTTATGATATGTGTGAAGGAAATATCTTAACAGGGTGGTTAGGACTGACTGAAAGGGAGGAAGAAGGCCAGTTTTTACACTTAAATGGTCAGGGAAAAATCTATACTTGTCAGGGAAAAGTCAGGGAATTTGGGCCTGCCATGCCTGTGGGAACCCTGTATAGAGGTCATGTGTTAACTTGTTAATTAATTGATTGGTCAACTTGCATATTTACATGGCCATTCTTTCATTCATGATTCAAGCTTCAGGCTACTTTCTGCTACTGTTTCAGGTTTTCTTGAATGGTAATGTTAAGTGGATCACACAACTCGGTACATAAAACCAGAGACCATATACTATTCACGCTTTGTTAAGGATTAAATCATGGATTCAACAGAAAACTTATGTGGGGTCAGATTTGGTTTAAATAACTAAGCTTATTTATTGTAAGCATGGATCCTAGGTTTCAGTATGTCATTGCATCTTGTAGATCCCATACCTGGTATTGACATGTGTTGTTTTTTGTCAATGACTCATTCCATGATTTGCAAAATAGTTGATTGGTGCCATGAAAACCATTTTTATGGTTATTCATGTATCAAGTGCATAAGGTTAGATTAAAGTGGCTGTTTGCCGAAAGAGGTGTTGCCATATTATTATTTATCCTGTTTTAAATGGATACAGTTTCAAATTATAAATCTACATTTAAGTAAAGTTGTAAATTTTTGTGATCCTTAGCAAAGTGTGAGTAGTATATATATGGTCTCTGATAAAACCTAAGGTATCTTGACTTTCATTATCTGTCATTATCCGATTTTGATGTGGCTTTATGTTGTTGATGGGATCTTTTCTGTTGCAGATTATTGCCCAAGGATGGTTTAATGCTGTAAAACATGTTTCCTGCCCTTGAGGACAGGGTAACTGAGTGCCAAAATGCCAAAAATACAGATGCTTATAGTGATATATGGAATATTCATACATGCAGCTGACAATGTAAGTATGGTACACCATGTTTAATTGTATATAACTGTATGATTGTATTCTGAGCAAAAGAAAATTAGTGTCTGTCAAATGTTTGGGGTATTTTTATGACATTGAGACCGCCTCCGTGGTGTAGTGGTTAGAGCGTGTGCCCGGAGAGCGGAAGGTAGCCGGTTCGATCCCCGACCGCGTCAAACCAAAAGACGTTAAAATATGGTACTTGTTGGTCCCTGCCTGGCGCTCGGCATTAATGGGTACAACAAGGACTGGTCGGCTCAGAGTCAGTATAATGTGTCTGAGTGGGGTATTCATGCTTCACTGCGGCATGGTATCTCAGTGGGCTAGCACTATAGCTTAAGTCTGGGCTTGTACAAGCAGACGCACATACACATACACACGCATGCACGTCGTCATATGAGCGAAATATTCTCGAGCACGACGTTAAACCCAATTTCCTTCTTTGTTGTCTAATGAACAAGCTCTGTATCTTGGACTCTCATTATTTCAGACCAAAGTGTCGGCCCGAAAAGGTAGTTCCAAATCTGTGTTCTTCGGACTGCTGTCTAATTCGGACTTTTTAGTCGGTCAGAAGCCGGTCCGAATTAGACAGAGTGCACTGTATGACGTATAATGGCAGTATTTGTGTTGTTATTATACCTCTGACATAACAGCATCTTATCAGTCAGTGACAACAGAGGGAGACGTGAATCATAGTAACAGGCAACAGCCAATATTACGTTTTGGACAAATATATCATACATATGTCATTGTGCTCTTTGTCGAGGAACTCTGTGGTCCAGTAGATAGAGCATCTGCTTGGGAAGGTGGTTTGATTCCTTGGCCAAGATGTGAAAACATGGTGCTTGTTATATTGCCTGGTGCTCAGTAATAAGCGACAGAGTTAGGACTAAGTAGAGTTTTTTGGTTTGTTTTACGCCGCACTCAAGAGTATTCCAGCTATACCATGTATATGGCAGCGGTCTGTAAATAATTTAGTCTGGATCTGACAATCCAGTGATTGATATCATGAGCATCGATCTACGCAGATGGGATAGGATGACATGTGTCAACCAAGTCGGCGAGTCTGACCACCAGAACCTGTTAGTCGCCTCCTATGACAAGCATGGGTTACTGAAGGTCAATTCTAACCCGATTCTTCACGGATGAGTGAGGACCCACACATTGCTATATGTCAGTGAAATAATCTTGAATGTGATGTTAAAGCCCCATTAACGCATTAGCTTACAGCCTTAATGGTGACAGAAATGTCTGAACTTGCTGTCTTTGGGGCTGGTGCACTATATCTAAACATGAAACATACCAACCAGGGTTCGAAATACCCCATATATTAGTGTGCCATGGCACGGTAAATATTGAAATGACACGGTTTAAAGATGTTCTCTGTGCCTTTTGACACGCCTAATTTCCTGGAGACATAGCTCACATTTAGTCATTTAATCCCCCAAACAATTATTTTTTTACTAAACTGAATAATACCATACATATTTGAATGCTCATAAACCCATTTGTTTATTTAACACTAAATTTCAAATGATTATCATCTTTGTCATTTTTTCTAAAAACATGTGGGCATACTTGATTTCTGAAAGGCACACCTAAAATATTTGTCTGGTGCCCTAAGGCACACTTAGAAAAAAAGTATTTATTCCTGCCAACATTTGATTTTCGTTTTGTTTGCTGCTTCATGTTGATCTCAGCTGTATTCAGCTGTATGACAGCAGTCTGTAATTAATCTAGTCTGGGCTAGACAAACCAGTGATCAACAACATGAGCATCAATCTATGCATCTGGGGTATGATGACAACTGTCAACCAAGTCTGCATGGTCAGCAGAGCCTGACCAACAGATCCCATTTGTCACTCCATTCTCCTACATCAAGCATGGGTTACTGAAGACTAATTATACCCTGGATCTTCATGGGTATAATGAGCATATGAACAGTTGTATTATTTGTTTCAGGCCCGACTTCCTCTTTTGACTTGTTTACCAAGAACAGATGAAGACCCATGCCCACCTGGTTAGATACGGTTCTTTAATACTTCCTCTGATTGTTAAATTTGTTACTTCTATTGCTTTTTTTTCATTAATATATTGTACACAAGTACTGTAAATCATGTAATCAATGCGAGCATGAAATTAAATGCGAAAAACACAAGTTTTCCATGCTCGTATTGTTAAATGACATATTTTTTTATCGGGACTGTTTTCAACACACTCAACAATTTTCTGTTTTCTGCGTGAGTGAGTGAGTAAGGTTTTATGCCGCAATATGACAACAGGGGACGCCAGAAATGGGCTTCACACATGGTATGCATGTGGGGAATCGAACCCAGAATGATGATCGAACACTTTAATCACTAGGCTGCCCCACTGCTCCCAGTTTGTATAACAGTTCCTATAACAGTTCCTACTTGAGTACATAGTAACCATCATTTTCTACCATTGCCTTACCTTCAACAAAAGCCTTTTACAGCATCACACATATCAAGCAGGCAGTAAGTTTACCTAGATATCACTACACTCTTTGACCCTCCCCTAATCTTTGTTGTCCTTATTTCAGACTATGAATTAGTTACATGCACTACAAGCGGGACCCAAGACGGGTGCGTTCCTTGTCCTCCAGGACTCCGCATGTGCGATGCTACCACATCGGAGTTGCCGTCAAAATGTTACGACCCGAGAGAAGCCTGCTCTGCCGATGGAGGTGAGTGAGTCGTCGTTAAGATGTTATGATCTGAGAGAAGCCAGCTCTGCCGATCGAGGTGAGTGAGTCGTCGTCAAGATGTTTTGATCCGAGAGAAGCCTGCTCTGCTGATGGAGGTGAGTGAGTCGTCGTCAAGATGTTATGATCTGAGAGAAGCCTGCTCTGCCGATGGAGGTGAGTGAGTTGTCGTCAAGATGTTATGATGGAAGACAAGCTTGCTCTGCCGAAAGAGGCGAATGAGTGAGTGAGGGAGTTTTTGTCAAAATGTTACGATCTGAGAGAAACTTGCCCTGCCAAAAGAGGGGAGTGAGTGAGTGAGTGAGTTGTTGTCAAACTGTTATGATCTGAGAGAAACTTGCTCTGCAAAGGGAGGTGAGAGAGTGAGTTGTGAATGTGAGTTTAGACGTGGCACACACAAAGATGGAAAGTTTTTGGAAGTCATCCCGTGTAGTAGAAAAACTAATACAAGCAACACAAAGTTATGTTGTCTATTCTTACTCCTTCATCAGGTGAAATGAAGACTCCATTAAAAGATATGATGTTATAGAAATATTACACATAGCTGTGACTGACTTAAATCTCTCCACTGATGTAGAAATTCTCATTGATGATCTTTATGTGTTAGTGAGAAACATCATAAATTACGGCGTTACAATATAAAATCCTAGAAATTAAATCTGAAAGTAGATATGATGCAAACTGTTTCAATATATTCATCTGGCTAGCTATTCTCGAAACTTCTTAAGTCCTACGAACTTCTTAAGCCCATTCTTAACACATTGGCTACGATCAAAGTTAGAATTCTTAGGGCTACGAAAGTTTCGAGAATAAGGCCCCAGGTGTTTTAGATTTGGTAAGATCGATGTTCATGATATCAATCACTGGATTGTGTGGTCCAGACTCGATTATTTACAGACTGTGCCATGAAAAAGCTGGCATATTGCTGAGTCTGTGTTAAACACTCACCCTGGTTGTCCTGTGTTCCAGATAACAGAGTCCAGGTGACTGACCTACCTGGAGGAGGATGCACAATAAGGTGCATCTGTAACGAGAGCGCAGGATTCTCGGGACCTGACCCTCTACAGTGTCAGTCACATGACCAGCCATGTGACCAGAGCAGTTATCACGAGTTAGGTAAGACTTCCCCTTGGCAGAATATGCTCAGTTTTCTGCCCACCACCTCTTACTTTTTGGTCCGGGTTAGAATTGATCTTCAGCAACCCATGCTTGTCGTAAGAGGTGACTAACAGGATTGGGTGGTCAGGCTCACTGACTTGGTTGACACATGCCATCGCATCCCAGTTGCGTAGACCAATGTCCATGCTGTAGATCACTGGATTGGAACCTTGGTCAGATAACTGCCAGCGTCTGCCTGGTTTTTTTTTCTGAAACAAACTCAAATATTTGAGATTTATATCTCATTTAGGTAGATAATTTCATCGTTTCCCTAAAAATTAGATAGAAATATGCATGTCAGAAGACTTCTTAATCATACTGCACAATAATGCATTAGACCAAATTAAGTTTGCAGCCTTAGAATGACAAGCATTTTTGTGTGTTTTGAACGAAAATCTGTGATTGTTTCTTGTAACCAGATTCTCACCATTGTCTGCCTTGTCCCGAGAACCAGCACAACCCCCATGATGACGGACTGGACAAGTGTGTGCCACGCTCAACACGGCCTTCCACTGCAGTGTAAGCACACAAGGGGATTCTTCATCAGAACTGGTCTCCGGCAGAATATGCTGATGCCATTTGATTGAATGGGTGGCTTAGTCGATGAGACCGCCTCCGTGGTGTAGTGGTTAGAGCATCCTCCCGGAGAGCGGAAGATCGCGGGTTCGATCCCTGTCTGTCGTCATATGAGCGAAATATTCTCAGGCATGATGTTAAACCCAATTTCACTTCACCTTAGTCGATGAACATTTTTTCTTCCCCCTCGTCCAAAAGCATAGGTCATTCCTCATTAATCACTGGATAGTCTGATCCAGTCTCTGTCATGTAAAAGTCACCATCACATAGCAGGAATATTCAGATTTGAAAAAAATGTGTCTGTTGTATCTTTCAAGTGGCCCTAGCTGGCCATTTGTCTACTGTGCTACATTTCACTGGGTTCAAATCCTGGTTTGGGTGGATCCTCTTACTATTTTTGCAGACAATATACCAGTGGTTGTGAGTTTCACCAAAGTGATAAATGTCAGATCAAATCAGTTTGAGTGTTAGGGTGGATCCAGGAATTTGTAGCAAGGGGTGCACATAAATCATGAAGTCTAAAGGTGAGGTGAGGTGAGGTGAGAAATTGGGTTTAACGTCGTGCTGGAGAATATTTCGCTCATATGACGACGTGCACGCGTGTGTATGTGTATGTGCGGCTGCTTGGACTAGCCCAGACTTAAGCTGGTTTTATAGTGCTAGCCCACTGAGATACCATGCCGCAGTGAAGCATGAATAACCCACTCAGACACATTATACTGACTCCGAGCCGACCAGTCCTTGTTGTACCCATTAATGTCAAGCGCCAGGCAGGGACCAACAAGTACCATATTTTAGCGTCTTTTGGTATGATGCGGTCGGGGATCGAACCCACAACCTTCCGCTCACCGGGCGGACGCTCTACCCACTACACCACGGAGCGGCCTAAAGGTAAGGGGAGATTGCTCCTCAGGGAAAAATGTTTCAGGGGAAGGCATGGTGGTACATCCCCAGCCACTCCCCTCTGGATCCGCCACTGAGTATAACTCCCACAATCTGGCATGCCATGATATAGTTGGAATACTGTTCAAAAATTTTTAAACCCAAGTCTTTTAGGAACTCTTGCTTTTCGTAAGAGGCGACTAATGGGATTGGGTGGTCAGGCTTACTGACTTGGTTGATACATCCCTTCACCTCAAGCTCGCTGGATCACTAGTATGGCGCCTTAGCCAGCTCGCCCACCACGCCTCTATGTTGTTGCATAGATTGATGCTCATGATGTTAATCACTAGTTTATCTGGTCCTGACACAGATATTTACATCTTCATAGAACTGGAATATTGCTGAGTGCTGCGTTAAACTACAAACAAAAATTAAACCCATGCCACTTGCTGTCACCATATAGCTGAAATATTGGTAAGTGTGGCGTAAAACTAAACTCACTCACTCATGCCACTCCCACAAACACACAATTGCCGAAACACAGATGATATGACTTTTATTTCCCACCATTTCAGTAACCCTCAACAAACACTGCTTGTTCCTTCCACAACACCAGCAGCAGCATCAACGACCACAACAGCTGCATCTGCCGCTTTGGATGCAGGTATATAACACTGAAGCCATAATAACACGTCCATACATGTGCTTAGTAAAAAAACTGATTATATTATTTGTTCAATAGTTTTTGTATCCTGACTGAAAGTCAAATGAGAAACATTTACCAGTTTAAATTTTGAATATTAATGAGCAAATTTGTGTATCAGTGAGAAACATTGTTGCAGTTTAACCTTAAAGGATGAGATAACAGAATGATATATACCAGATGATGTGCAACAATGTTAAACAAGATTGCAAATGTCTTGTTTTGTTTGTCCTGTGAGTTGTATATGTATGTTCAGAGCTGCAGAAATTCATTTCCGGGTACATTCCATTATGGGTCATGTCTGACCCTTCATCTGACCAATCAGAGCTTTGCTTAGGGACCGGTTCAAAAGTTTTATATCAGACAAAATTCTTAATACCTTTTTGGAGGTGGGGAGGAGTTAATGTCCCTGCAAGGATTCCTTCATTTAAAATCAGCTAATTTCTCAAAGTTATCTCAACTAATATCAGCGAGAACTACCATTCGATTTCAGCAATCCTATTTTAAGCACATGAACATTTTTACTGTTAAATATGTTGATCATTTAGATAATATGTGTCTAAAATAATAAAGAAATTGACATCGATATATTTTCAATGTTGTGGGCTTCTTGTTAATCTGGGGCAGTGGAGGTTAAGGCATTCGCTCGTCACACTAAAGACCCATTCAATTCCGTTCGTGCCCATTTCTGGTGTCACCTGCCATGATATTGCTGGAATATTGCTAAAAGCGGCGTAAACTAAACTCACTCACTCACTCACTCTTGTTAGTCGTGATATAACTGGAATTTGATTGGTCGGTCAAAGTTGGCTAGAGGCTTTACTGATGTGACCTGAAATGGGATGTACCCTCAGTGGAAGCAAGAACTAAGTTCGGATTTTAATAAGTTTTATGTTTGCGGCAGATGTGCATTTGTTTCGTGCATGATGTTTTATGATATTTCAGACAACGACAATGATAATGGCGATGATATGCGAAGCATAAAGTAGGTGGATATAATCCAGCGTATACTAGTATATCTCAGACATGCACTAACACCTTTATCTGCTTGTATACTTGTATAAAAACAAAGTATTATTAAATCACTAGTGATGAATTGAAACAACAAAATACTGATCAAAAGATCCTAACAAACTCAATTTTCTGTTATCAAATAAAACTTAAAGTCCTCAACTGTTCTATTCTTAAAGAAAAAACTTGATTTTATATTTATAATTTCTAACAACATTTCCTTATAAATATATTCACTGCTGAATTAACTTCCTTGTGAAAATTGAGAAAGAGTTAGTCCATTGTCTTTTTATCCAATATTATGCTGAAGTATTTGGTTTTGTCAGTGGTGATCTCAACACTGAAGCAGCAAAATGACCGTAACTGATTAATTTTGATGATCAACCTGGCTGACTGATCAATTCATGAATATACACTAACACATGTAACTGCTTGTAGATAGTTTGTTATCATATCATCAATCATGATTCTACTAAGATTCCAAAAGCTGTATTATATCACTTGAACTAAGAAATCTTCTTTATCATGGATAATGTTCAAACTGAATGGAGTCTTTGTGTATTAATATGGCATATAACCCTTGTACAGTCAAATCCCGATGAGTCGAATGCCGGTGTCTCGAATATTATGCATAACTCGAAGTACCTGTCGGTCCCGACCATTCCCTGTTATTGTTGTCATCATTTGATTTCCGGTTACACGAATTCGTCTCATAAATACACACGATGACTCGAAATGTAAAATTGGTCCCATGAGATTCAAACAACAGCAATCTTGTATACATAAGCCGAAGTCAGTCAATGAGAAGTTAGTTGGTGTTGCTAACTGAACAAACCAGCGCGGAGTGCTAGTATTGAAATGTGTTCTCATTTATATACTGTTTGTTTCCATTATCCATTATTATCTATTATCTATGTCGCCTAATGTATTGTTGTGCTATATTTAGATATGATGTGCTCAATAAAGGAAATGTTCAATCATCTTTTTTTTCTACCCTCATAGACATACCTATGTCTTGAATACATCGATAAGTCGAATCTATTACTTGGTCCCCAGCGATTCGACTCATCGGGATTTGACTGTATATGCTGGGGGTGAAACGGTATGGTCTTACCGCGGTATGATACATACTGCGGTACAAGGTCCTAGATAGGTATGTGATATGATCATAAAGCAGAAAATTTACAAGAGCCAAACCTTACATTGTTTAATAACATGAGGACAAAAAAACATAAATTTTTCCTTATCCTGACTCATGCTTATTGCTTGTCTTCTTCTTCTTGCGAACATAGTGGAACACGTGTATCTCCCAATTGAAGTTCCCTTCAATTAAAAAATCACTAATTAGTACTCACCACGAGTTACCTCCCTTCCACAAGTGCGGGAACGAGGGCGCCACCTGAACCCATGTGCCTCACTCTCTCCTTCTTCGCCCAGTGAGCTGGACGTGAGAGCGTCTGTGTCTCCCAACACACTATATCCTTTATTTATATTTAGTTTAGTACCTCTTATATTCAGTTATAGAGGTGTAATTAGTATCCTTATTCAACTTGCATTGATTATTAGTTGTGTTTCTGCTGTTTTATTCACGGTTCGCCGTGTTTGTTAAGCAGTTTGCGTTAATGAGAATCTGCACAGGTTGTAAACTACGTTATTCCGCTACCGATCCACGTTTAAAATGCCCTAGTTGCATTACTCCATGTTCTATTGTTTCTTGTTGTAAATTATGTATTAATTTACCAATTTCTGCTTTTGATAAATATTTATGTTCCGTTTTGAGATGGAAGGCAGATAAATCTCGCAAACAATCTTCAGTCATGGCTAATAGATCAGAAGCTATTATACCCTGTCAACTGTTGACTGACAACCCGCCACCGGCTGGTGGCCTGCCTGAGTTTCCCTCGAGGGATAAGCGTGGGACGCAGTCCGCTATGTCCAAGAAGCGACCTGCATCTAAAGACATTCCGTCTTCACAGTCTAAGACTAGGAAAGCGTCCACATCATCTCAACGTACGCTTCGAACCCCCAGGTCCACAGCTTCGTCAAAAGGGAAATCTACGAAAGCTACAAATAATTTTGCCTCCGATATTCTACCTGTCTCAGAATTAAGTTTATATGATGATGACATTCCAATTATCATTCCAGATGTACGTCATAAGAAACGTCCAGTATCTGCTACCGTCACTACAGCGCAGATCAACACGCAACCAGAGATGCCTACGCTGACGCCTGAGTTTATGATTGAGGGTCCCGTCACTTTCACAGAGAGGCCACCCTCAACGCCAGCGCAGACCGTCCCAGACGACCTGGTTAACCAAATCATGAGACTGATGGAGGACCGTTACGGTTTACAGAGGCCCCAGAGCCACGGGCCCCAGAGCCCAACCCATAATAAGTCATACAGGGCCCCAGAGCCCGCCTTGACTTCGCGTAGGGCCCCAGAGCCCACAAACGCGCCTCCGCGAAGGGCAACCCTGCCAGTAGCGATCACTTCGCAAAGGAAGTCCCAGGCCGCCTCCGCGAAGGAGCTAGAGCCTCTCCAGTTGCGAGGGACATCCATGGTCATCGCCCTTTCTGTTTGGTGGCAACATAGACAAGGTCTCCAAAGAAGTATCTAAAGACTCGAGAGAGTTACTTATGATCAGATCGATGGATACCTTAGCGAACGTCATTAAACAGTCAACACAGAGATACTCGGGCAAGTCTAAGTTTTTGGGGCTACAGAAAGCACGGGACAAGAAACTAGCTGCAGCTAAAGATCCCAAGGATTCTTTTCGTCGCCCATACAACAAATTTAGAGTAGGATCATCTAGAGGCAGATCATCGAGAGGTGCCCTTGGATTTAGACGATGAAATTAAGGTTCGGAACGACTGGAGTCTTCCACCCCAAGCCGTTCCAGTACAACCGTCTCAAGTGGGGGGACGCCTTCAGCTACACTGGGAAAACTGGGGAATACTACAAGATCCGTATGTATCCAACATCCTACAGCACGGATATCTAATACAACTCAAGGCCAAGCCTCCGTTAACAGTCAACCCCACAGGGTTCAACGTTCAACCCGCACAACTACCTATGTTAAGAGAAACAGTACTTACTCTACTAAACAAACAGGCCTTAGAAGTTCTGGATCAACGAAACATCGTACCAGGTTTCTACTCCCCAGTTTTCCTAGTGCCGAAGAAAAATTCCAAGGAGAAGTTTCGTCTCATATACAACATGAGCATCTTCAACAGAGAATATCTATGCAAACCACCACCGTTTCGCATGATACACTAACCGCAACTTCGGGATTTAATTCGTCCCAAAGATTACATGGCCAGCATAGATTTGCAAGACGATATCTACACATTCGATTCATCCCAACTCAAGGAAATATCTAAGGTTTATCCTAGACGGGAAACATTACCAATGGAAGGTTCTTCCCTTCGGAATCACATCGGCCCCTTGGGTATTCACAAGAGTGACCAAGCCTATTGTCTCATACCTACATCGTCAAGGTCTTCGCAGCGCTTTTCACCTAGACAACGGTATACAAGTGGATCCAGATCCACAGCGTCTCAGACTACAGCTGAACTTTATAATCAAGCTACTAACACAATTAGGATGGTTAGTAAATCTACTCAAGTCGGACCTAGAACCAACGCAGGATCTGCAATTTCTAGGTATACGATTTCTAACAGCTCAGAATTGTATTGTAGTCCCGGAGGACAGATGGATCAAGATCCAACAACTTATTCCTCAAGCCCTACGCTCTCCGTTACCACTACGACAGTGGCAGAGCCTATTGGGACTACTCACATCAGCTCAAGACTTGACAGTCAGAGGCAGGCTTCAATTACGTCCGTTACAAATCCTCATCAATGCTCATCTCGAGGACCCTCTACCATTCAGTCTACCAGATTATGTCAAACCACATCTACTCTGGTGGACCAAGAGATTGGATGTTTGCGCAGGCGTCTCTTTAGTTGAGCCGGAATCGAAAACACATCTCTACATAGACGCGTCACTACAAGGTTGGGGAGCCCACCTTGCTGGCAGGACAGCGTCAGGCCTATGGAGCAATCAAGAGAGCAAATGTCTCATAAATCTGCTAGAGATGCAAGCAGTCATAAACGCCATAAGTCACTGGAGCAACCTACTACAGAACGCTCAGTTGATGGTTCACACAGACAATTCAACAGTGGCATTTATGTGAACAAACAAGGTTCAACAAGGTCACAGAACCTACTGACTCGATGTTTCAGACTGTTCGATTTAATCGACAATCTAAACACACATGTCAGAGCTTGCCACATTCCAGGAGCAAAGAATGTATTAGCATACGCTCTCTCTCGGCCACACCAACCGTCGACGACAGAATGGATGCTCCACACAGAGATATTCAATCAAATAATCATGGAAATAGGATCTCCACTGATAGACCTATTCACCACTCGATTCAACAAGCAACTGACAACATTCGTGTCGCCAGTGCCAGACCCACTAGCATGGGCAACGGACGCACTAAGCATATCGTGGGAGAGACTCAACGCGTACGCTTTCCCACCTCCAGCGTTGATCCCACAAGTCTTACAGAATATCAGTCAAATGCAGATCCTCCATCTGATTTTGGTCGCGCCCTACTGGCCAGCGTGAACTTGGTTTCCAGATCTCATTCAAGTAATGGGAAAACCAATTCTTCAGCTCCCACAACGCGCCAATCTATTGATACATCCGCACACCAAACAAGTGCACGAAACACCAGAAGCATTCCAATGTATGGATTCTATCAAGGCATGTCTGAATAAGAGAGGTTATTCTGCCAGAGCGGCTAAAGCGGTCACGCTTGCACTACGGAACTCAACTCGTAACTTATACGATGACAAATGGCACAGTTTTGTCAATTACGCTGCTAAGAAAGGATTTACAGCCAGATATGCTACACATCCTCAAGTGGCAGATTTCTTATGTCATCTACGGCAAAGTAAGAATCT